GCATTCTTTGTGTTTGGGGTTCCCACCATTTGATCTGTCAGACGCATTTACTCATAAGGATGAACATTTAGTTTGGGTCTCAGGCCGAGGTGGCCCACTACAGATCATTGCCTAAAAGAAATGGTGCTGAGCTCTGAGGAAAACAAGCCAGGCCTGCCTCTACTAGTCCAGTGAAACTTTAGATCCCAGCAAACCTGCCTCTCAGATGCTTTTGATCCCTAATAAACTGGGGTGTTGTCTTCCGGTTTCAGAGGTCTGAACCGATTATACCCTGGAAACAGAGCTCAGTTTCAAAGCACTCCTCTCTGCCTGGGTCCTTGGGCTATGAAGGGCTACATTCTGTCTTGGTAAATTCTGTTCGGCCAGGAGTTCAAGACCAAGAATAATTCCAGCTGGAGACCAGAGGCTGGTAGAAGATTTGCTGAGATGTCCCGGGAGGGGTCATTTCCCAATCTGAAGCCTTTTTCATGACTAGGACTTCATGCCCTTCCTCCGCCGAGGCCTTCAGACCCCAGAGAGTATTTGCCTTTCAAGAGGTCTCTTCCTTTGCTCTCAGGGGTCAGCTCTGGGCTAACCTGTTGAGCTGGGACCGGCCTGAGTTGGGAGCTGTGGCTCTGCTCACCTTTTACTTCCATCTTGCAGAGCTGTGAGTGCTTTTGTGAACTGGCCTTGAAAAAGGATTTTGGTGGATTTTTTTTAAAAACACAACCTCTTTATTTCTTCTTTTTTAAAATATATATTTTATTGATTTGGAGAAGAAGGGAGAGGAATAGAGAGCTAGAAACATAGATGAGAGAGAAACATTGATCAGCTGCCTTCTGCACATTCCCTACTGGGTATGTGCCCGCAACCAAGGCACATGCCCTTGACCGGAATCGAACCTGGGACCCTTGAGTCCACAGGCTGACACTCCATCCACTGAGCCAAACCGGTTAGGGCACTTTATTTCTTTTTGAGACATAAATGTTCAGTTTGGATGATGCAGATGAGCCAAGGACTAATGACAATGGCTAGCTCTTCCATTTGTTCCAGTGAATTCCAATGGAGGAAGAGGGCATAGTATCTAGACTGTGTTGGTCTATTAATATTCAGCTTATCCAATCTACAGCTTGGTACCTCTTGAGCAGGACTGTCCCAGGAAGGCCGGATATGATAACAGTCAAGGATGGAGAGGGCAGACATGGAGAATTCAACACGTATATGCAGCTTAGCCCCTGTCCCCATAGGCTCTCTAAAGTTCCCTATTTGGTCAGAGCTGGCTCATCGTGGCTCCTGTTAGGTTAGGTGGCTCAGGAGGCGGCGTAGGAAATAAAGAGAGTCCAGTTAATCAGAAAAGAAAGAAAGGAAAGGTTTTATTCTGCGTCCCCGGTAGGCCCACAGACCCCAAAGACAGGGCACGTGGATCCGCACCCACAGGGAGGGGGGAGCTTTCTTTATACAGCTGTTCAGTGAGGGCGGGGGAGCATGAGCTGTGGGAGTTCCCGCCGCGGGGGTGCGGGGGTCCTCACGGTTTCCAGGTGTCATCATCGGCCTGGTAGCTGACCTGTTAGGAATTCCAGGGCGGGACCGGTATCTGCGTCACCATTTACCTGGTGCACTGGCCTGTTACGTTTACCTGGTACTGACCTGTTACGGATTCTAGGAAGGGCTTAGGATTCTGCGTCGCCATCTGCCTGGTGGAGGCATGCATCAGCTCCTGGACCCCCTTCCGACCTCACAGCTCCACTGTGCCTCGGATTCTGCGTCACGGCTTCTGAGGCAGAGTAGGTTCAGATCGTCCGGAAGCTGGGGTCACTCCCTTGGCAGCTTGCTGGGCTAAGCAGTACTTACATCGTTTGGTCTTGGGCCTTCGAAGTTCCCCGCAGTCACAGCTACCCTGACAGCGTCAAGCCGGCTTAGCATCGCCGCACACCAGGACGCGCCCCGCTGTGGGACCGGCTCTTCTGGTAACGTCAGTGCATGAGGGGCTACCACAACACCGCGATTTTTTTCTTCAACCTTCTAAATTATATTTTTACTTTTTACTTTATTGTTGTTGTTGCTGTTGACTCTATTACAGATTTTTGGGAAAGGAGCAGGCAACTGTGTCAGGGTTGAGCTCCCATTTGACATTGTTCTGCATCCCCACCTGCAGTGACAGCTACTCAGAAATCTCACTGTCACCTCACCTGCCTTGGTCTGATCTTTTCTCATTTTCCCTCTCGTCTTCGCAGTTTCTCCTCTTCAAACGGCTTCTTGTTCCCAGGGGTGCATGTGCAGCCAGTCTCGGAGGAAGGAGTCATATGGCCCAGATTTCTTCACTGAAACCAGGTCTCCCAGACTCGAAGCTCCTCTATCGACTGCGTGAGGATGGGCTCCAGGGTGTCTTTGGGCCAGTGTTTCACATCCCCCACCAGCTGGTAGACACAGAGTCGCCAGTGCAGGCTCTGCTTCCGGCCATCCTGGCCGGTGGCACCTTCTCCTTCGCTCCACGATGACCTTGCCCTGGCGGCCGGAGAGTGAGGGCGAGCCTGACCTTGAAAGAGTTTTATAGAATCTCTCCCTGTTCTCGGTTTGTTTGTTATGCTGCAAGAATGTGACTCAACAGCCTCCACACCCCAGTGACTCATCGAAGCTTTAATGAGCTGTGTTTTCCAGGCCTTCCTGGGGCAGCGCCTCCTCTAATGTTGTCCAGGGGCTGCCCAGGCCAGGGCACTGCCCTGCTCGAGCCACAATGGGAGTGAAAAAACGCTCCCCACAGGCAGGCCGAGGGAAAGGCAAGGTGAATTCTGGGTTGTTCCACTCCCTAACAGTGCAACCTCTTGCCCTTCCCAGGCCCAGCCTGGGAGGTGAAAGCTAAATGTCAGGAGGAACCTACACAGTGGGATCGATTTGAAGGCATCTGGCAGGGTGATTTCTTCTTTGAGATAAAGACAGTTACTAGGGGTTTCATGGAGAAGTCTGTTTACTTTTTTTAAAAAATTGATTTCAGAGAGGAAGGGAGAGGGAGAGAGAGAGATAAAAATACCAATGATGAGAGTGAATCATTGATTGGCTGCCTCCTGCACGCCTCGCATTGGGGATCAAACCTGCAACCAGCATGTGCCCTGACCAGGAAACGAACCATGATCTCCTGGTTCATAGGTCGGTGCTCAACTACTGAGCCACGTCAGGCTGGTGAAACCTGTTTACTTTTCATTAATTGGGTCTTTGATTTGTGGGGCATTCAGTTTGCTGGGGGAAAAACTATCTGGCTATTAAGCTTCTGGGGGCAAGGTGGAGAAAATCATACAATTAGCAATTCAGAGATTTTCAGAATCTCTGGCCACATCAAAAGATGGGGCAGGGAAA